TGATTAGCCGACTTCCTTACACTGCTCACCTGTGGTTATGATCGCTTTGAGCATTATCCCATGTGCATCAGGGAAATGGTTATGCATATGAATGGCTGACATGCCTTGTTCCCACTTACCACCACAACCCAAAGCTTCCCTTGTCAGGGGTAATGTGACCCAGTAATTCAAAATCTTAGTATTTTATTGACTTGGTCCACAAAGTGCTTATTTGAATGAGAAACAAATATGTTGGTTTTTTCTTTTGATGAACATAGGCATGTATTTTGATGGGATAGACAGTTACCTACGTAGGAAGGCATGGTTAAGTTGGTTTGGAGCTGGCCAAGATCCTGAAAACCTTAATTATTATGACATTAAATAAGCTCACGAAAAGATGGTCTAACATTCATTTTTATCTGATTGTCTGTGTCCATCCAAATTATCCGACCCTTCTTGTTGAAGACCAAAATTTTCTATATTTAAGAATTCACGCCAATGCAAACTAATTTTGTTTTTGTTTAAGAACAGCACGCACTGATCCATGATGGTTGATGTAATTTCTGTTTAGTTTGACCTGGAAAAAACCTTTTTTTTCCTTCAAAGGCGAAGTCCACTATATCAGGAAGCAGTTTATTGTTAAATGGGAGTCAGAATTTGATGCGACATCTCATACCCACCCATGTCTTCCTACTATTATCTTAACATATTTCTAACATACTCAAATATAACAAATCAGTGGAACTCTTCTCTCTTAACCTGCATGAAAAGTCAACCTGGTTAATACATCAATGAAAAATTGCATAAAGAAATAACCTAACTCCATTCTATTTTACTTTTGACTGAAGTTTCACATCTTTTTCGCAAACAATTACCTGCCACGTTTCTTCTATTTTGAAATCCCCTAACCTTGGTATTTTGGTCAGTATAACATCTATTCCTAGATTCTGCCCTAAATTTTGGACTATGATCAACTAGTAAAGAGAAGTGTTACCTAGTGTTTGTTTCTGAATCCTGTCTGTAATCATAATGTTGAATAACAAATACAATCTGTCCTTACTATTGTGCCTATCCTGTAACATTTAACTCTGCTTCAAGATCTTTTGTTGGAGTGAGGATGAGAACTTCTTTATCCTCTTCTCCTCAGATTGTTTGAGAAACATGAAATCTGTCTTCTTCAGAATTATATTTTTGTAACCTTCTTTGTTTTCTCGTAACTTGAAGATCTATTATCAAGGGGTGGTCAATGAAGACTATAATATAGTCAACACACCAGCACCAAATGGTAATTTATTCTCAGTTGCATAATTTCTATTTTGCTGTAACTTATCTTTATTCTGATGCTGCATGAACATCTTCTTTGCATCCTTTAGATATGCAAGCACCTACTCCTGCTCCTGCCCTTCAGAATGATGATATTGATGATGATGACGAGCCCTTGAATGAAGATGACGACGATGATTTGGATGATGTGGACCAAGGGGAGGATCTAAACACAGCACATCTTGTTTTGGCTCAGTTTGACAAGGTTATGATGTTTTTTGGTTAATGTATTGAGTGGGAAGATTTTGTATAGCCCATTTGTTGTTTATCTAAAAACATGGAAGTGTCTTGACTTGTGCTACAAAAGCTGACTTGATACAAACTTCTGTAGGTGACACGTACAAAGAGCAGGTGGAAATGCACTCTTAAGGATGGCATAATGCACATAAATAATAAAGACATTCTTTTCAATAAGGTTGGATTTTTAGAACCTTTTGTTCTACTTATCTTTTTTTATTTGCTAAGTAAGTCCCTGTTTTTGTTACTGTTGTTTTTATCCTTTTGAGTTAATCACTGGTTACTTGTCTAGGCAAATGGAGAGTTTGACTTCTGAAGCAGTTGAACGAAAACCTAATGCAACATTAAGGAGCTCAAATTGGGAGTCAATCAAGCTGATTTACTTGTTTTGTTGATGGTATTTCAGTGAAAGTAAAAACTGGAGGAGACGAAGTTGCCTACTGCTTCTTTCGTGGATAAGTTTTTTGGTTGGCCAAGTATTGTAACACTTTTGGAACATCTTGGTTAATTTTTAATACTAGTGGAATATTTCTTTTTCTCTTATTTATGTAATTTTAGTTGAACTGAGCTCATGAAACCCCTTTTGGGTTATTACCATGACTGTGTGCTCCTTGGATCAGCTGTGTTAATATAAATTCCCAATTTGCTTGTTAGGTATTCAGCTGTGATGTGTCATTTGACAATTTGTTTTAGAGTGCGGCTGCCGCTTGGTTTCGATGAATTTAATGTGCTGCCTGCATTCAACCATTTACTACTTTGTGTTTTGCCTTGTTACATATTAGACGGGTACCTTGTATAATTTGTTACCTACGTGCTAGCAATTGGAAAGATAAAAACTTTGAGACAGGTCAAGACTTTAGTTAATTGATATATATGCTGTTTTTTAATCTTGCAATTATAGTTAATTGATGCGTAATTGTTATGAAATATACTGTTAACGTGAATGTTAGTATTAAATAATGTATGGCAAATTGATATGAGTTGGTGTAAACATCGAATACAATCAAGTATTATATCCCATGGTGTAGCCACCCGGCAGTGCATTCTTGAATCTTACTTTCTATTCGACTTTGATTCATTTATACTAAGTGCCTATTTGTCATCCCGTTGGTTTCTCAGATTGTAAAACATGATAACTTTATCATCTCAAACAGTTACGAATCCAAACTCAAATGAATATACAAACAAGATAACAAAATAAGGTTTTACTTTGTAAAACAAATACACACTACTCGATCCTTATCCTCTTATTTTATTATTATATAAGAGAAGGTTCAACTTATTAATATCACAAGTTCAGGAAGGTAATAGTACAATCTAATTCACCAATGCTTAGAAATAACGTCAAGTGTGTTTCGGATCCTTCAAAACAAATGCATTTTTTGTAGTATCCTTCACGAGTACAACAACATTTCTGGAGGGTAGGAAGCAACATATATAAGGATAAACCTCAACGCCCTGAATTTGCAAGGGTGCATTGTGACTGAAACAAGGCGAAAATGGTCGAAGGTTGTGTATATGTCCCTAAAGCAGGATGTTGCCAATTACCACTATTCTCCAAAGGACCATTTCCTTGAATAATGTTTTTGGCTTGTCCATTAACGTTGTCAACACACTTAACATTTTCATCTTGAGATGTTGTAGGAGAAAATATAAGTGGAGACAACAAAGGAATTGCACAGTTAGAAGAAGCTTCTTCCATGAAATTGAAAGGTACTTTGTAACCATCAACATTCATTTTGTCATCAAGTTGTAGAGAAGAAGGTGCTTTCTTTTGCAACCTTGTACAAGACATTTTCCCTTTCCCCTCTTTCTTGCTTGTTTCCATTGTCACAAACTAATAATTATGATTCCTTAAGGAATCTTAATCTTAGTTATATTTTTTTAAATATAACTAAGTTGATGAAATGCTAAATTTGTTTTAAGAAAGAAGAAAAGAGAAATGTGTTTTTATGGTGCGGAAAATATGGGGTCAGTTGTGAAGGTACTATTTTACTTTTCACGGTTATAATTTTTATGTACAATAATTAAATGATGATTTAAGAAAATAACGAACAGTTGGAACGGGTAATATTTTATTTCAAGGAACATTATATTCACAAGGTCCCATCACTTTACGTGGCTATTAATGTCGTAACTCCTTGTTCATATTCTGATTTATCATTAGCGGAGTCAAGATTTTCACTAAGAAATTCAAAATATGAAGATGGATGAAGTAAACATGAGAAAAAGTTGAATGCGGTTAAACATATTTTTATTTATACATAAAAAATAATTTTAATCACGTATAAATAGTGTAATTTTTTGTAGAAAAGGATTTAGTGATCCGATGAACCTCTCAACCCTACCTATCTCCCTGTTGTCTGCATATTGCATCGATCATTGACACATGGTTGGATTTGCAGTTTGTTTTACGAGTAAAAACACACAATGACTAGAGACAAATTAATAATAATGGTCCTTATTCATTTAATAAATGTAATTAACAAGAAAAGTTAAAGATTAATCCGGATTTTCAGTAAAACCAAGTTTAGTTTCAAAATAAGAAGGGACCCCAAAGTGCTGGTGGCCCAAATTAATCATTAGCTGGGTCATGATTTTCCCCTAATAGATGGTGTCCTTTTCTATGCGTGGGTTCTGAAAAAGGACCGGACACGAGTCCATTGGCATATAACATGTAAAATGATACGAATAGTATAAAGACATATAAATTAAATTCAATTTAATTGGGACTGTTTTCCTATGGTTACAAGTGAACGGTCATCAAAATTGTGGTGAAGTGGTAAGTACTCATTCATTATTAACTAAAAATCTCATGGTAAAGCCACATTTGATAGGGAGGCTTTACCTCCCAAAGTGGGACTTTCATGTGCAAATTCGGATTAATCACATCCCAAAGTAGAGATCGTACTACGGATGAGAAACCAATAAAAAAAGTTTATGTTAATCAGAGCAACAAAGTTGCTTGAACTTTTTCCCTATTTACGATTTGAATTGTGATCAAGTTTGGATGAAAACAATTGAAACCATAGCCAATTTATGTCAATTGAGTGTTAAAGTTCTCAACTAAGAATCATGGACAAATGCATTATTATGATTATTATATATTGATATGCAACATATTAACATACATTTACAAGTATACAAATGTACGTACGTATAGAGTTTTCTTACAAAATCATCAAACATATAATACCACTAAGAAAACATCTTGTTGCTCATACATAGCAAGCAACAATGTTTCTTATAAGATCTACCAAAACTCGAGGAACTTTTCCTACTAATGATCAAACAAAAGTCGCTAAAGACAGACATCCATCCTTCCATTTGATCGAAGACTTTCAGAGTGTCAAGCAACCGCGAAATCTAGCCTCAGAAGGCTCAATAAAGCAGGAAAATGCTCAAGTCCGTCATGTAATTCCTATTTTGGTTTTAAACTTAAAAAAAAATACAACATTTTCTTTATTTATTTTGCTGACTAATACACAAAACTAAACTTTAGAATCAGTAGATTGATTCTTTATTTTATTTTGGAGATGTCTGTAACCAGTCTTAATTAATTTCAGTTTGGTTGGAGAATCCTCTCATGGTTTTGTTCCTCAATAACTGCAATAAATTTTAAAAAAATCCTTCATTAGAAACTAAATAATTTTTCCATGCTTATTAATATGTAATTAGTAAACTAAGCATTTCAATTAGAATGATTAATTACCTTCTTGAATACTGGAGGAGATAGGAATGAGTGGTGATGATCTTGCACTGTGGAACTCAGGAATTTGTGATATTGATGAAGGGTCATTAGTAGTAGATAAATGACTCTTATGAGGCATAGTAATGGGATTATCCTGAGGCAAATTATTATTCCTAGCGATAATTACATTCTTAGGAGACATTATGTCACTTGTAGAAACTGGAATATTGGAAGCTGATGCTGATTTGATGCTTTTTATTGTTGATGATTTTGGGGAAAATTCAGGCTGAATAAATGAAGTTACAGCCCCCTTCATTTTCTCCATTATACCTATTAGCAACAAAAAACAGAGCAGTGAAATGGTTTTAATGCGCGAAATAGGCTTTAATTTTCTTAAAGAGATATTGCACGTATACATTTAACGTTACCTATATCACTGGAAGATGAATGCCTAGGGCTCATAGCCTCAGTTATGATCTGTGAAAGTGATCTTTCGCCTTCACCGGGCTCAAACTTTTCTGCAAAGTACTCTTTCACTGAAATACCTTTGTCCCATTTTTTAACTGGACTTGTAAGAGCGTTAGCATTTTGGTCTACATTTTGTCCCAATTTATTCACATTAGCAAAGTGAACATTTTTTGGTGTTTTTTGGATATCAGATTCATGGTTATCGGTGTTTGATAGAGTGAGATTTGAGATCTTAGAAGCAAACGCGTGTGTTGCATCAGATACTGCAGCATAAGCTGGTGCCAATCTCTCCGTAACAGTTTCTGTTATGGTTTTACTTGGACTATCAGGTAATTTCTCCGTATTATTATCGTGTTCAAAAACCTGATTGTGTTTGATGCTTCTAGGAGTAACATGTTTCTCAGATAACACTGGATCTGCTCGTGGATGTTGTCGTGCTGCTTCCTTTAATGGCTCAGGTGCCAATTCTGATTCATACACTAAACAAAAACACAATAGTTATAGATGCAATTCACAATAACATACGTTTCGATCAACTAGATTTGTTGTACCAATAATCAGGGTGTTCGTATAAATAATAACCGAGTAATGTTAAGAACATATTACTTGGAGCTCCAAGATATTCAGGATCTACATCTTCTTCATCATCGTCATCCAACGTAACACCCCATGAAGGTGTGTTATTGTCATCATGAACATCATTTTCTTGCATTTTTTTCCTACCACTTAAACTGTGTTTGAGTTTTTTTGCCTTTTCTTTCACTTTGGAGATAACTGATTTCTTGCCATGAGTTGGTGTATATTCTTCATGATCATAATAAGCTGTTGGGGATGAACTTGTTGACCAACTCCTTTCATTTCCTAATACAAAATTAGTGTTAAATTAAGCCACTAAATATAGAAATAACAAAAAATTAAAATTGTTTATGCTCTTTAGAGTATTAACCTGGTAAAAGTTGTTCAAAAGTTGTTGAATTAGACTTGGGACTACTTCTGGATGAGTGTGAAAACTTTTCAAGTTGAGCCATATGTATTTTTTTTTCTTTTTTTTTTATGAGATACCTTGAAATCTTTTCTATCGCTTGTGAGTTTGAGTTTTTTCTTCGCCTTTTCGTACATATGAATTCAACGATAGCTAAAGCATGGTTTGCGGGTTCCTCTGGTTGGAAATTAAAAGCCAATTAGTGTTATTTAATTGAAGTGTTTGTTGCTAATTTACAAATGGCGATAGATTAAAGATGCATATATATTTTTAAGAATGTTTTTGATTTGAAATAGGAATTGACCTTGTCTTCAGAGTAACTAATTTCCTTTATGTTAGCCTCATGTCATGGGATAAGATAATTATGTCCAAACATCATGTTTAGAGACAAAAATTCCATGACAAGAAACAGTTTGGTTATTTAAATAACTAAAGAATTTTTTTTTCACTAAAAAAATAAAAGAAGAAAAGAAGAAGAAACTTGGCATTTTAAGTTCACTATATAATTGTTGCCTCTAAAAACATCAAATATTTTTTAGATTAAGTGGTCTTGAATCTTGATTAATGGAAAATTTATTTGTATTGAGATGAGAAAAAAATGTTGGGTACATATATATTGTTTAGCTTAGAACTATTTCAAATATAGTGATAATATACTATTATCTTTGAGGGTAATAAGAATTTGAAAGACAGTCACTCTACCTTTCAAGGTAGCAATAAAATTTGCATATACATACATATTTGTTCTTTTTAAGTCTTACTCATGACATTACACTGAGTGTGTTATTATTGCAGTAATGATTTGAGATAGAGCTATCTTATGGTTGGGGTTCATCCAAACTCCCTTAAGCGAAGAATTATACATATTTAAAATAATTTTCTTATGTATATATAGTAGATGTCGAACCTATTTTACCTAATTAGTTTGTCTACTTTTTCATAATTTGAATTTCATTAGTGAAAATCCCAACTTCCGCAACAGAGAATGAACCTTCGTTTTGATAGGCCTCGATATTTCAAATTTTGATTCATGGGCCAGGATTCATATTGATTGGACAGTGAAAGCCCACCCAATGGCGTAATCGGGTCCATTCTGAAATATCCTAATCGGTACACTCATATTACCCTTTTCAAAAAGTGTAGAAATCAGCGTTCTCGATTTCTTCACTCTCCATTATCTCCTGCGATGGCGTCCATCGCCGCTCATGGTCTTGCAATTCCCGTCAACCGTTCTCACCGCCGGCTCAATTCAGCTAAAACAACCACCGGTACCTCCGTCACTGCTGCTTCACTCCATCCCCTTACAATCAAGTCAAAACTACCGACATTTTCATCTTCGCAAAACCCTAAACCCTCATCCTCAAACACCCGTGATAATTCTAACATTTTTGCCTCAAAACAGCTCCTAAATGTGGTGAAAACCTCTGCCGCCATTGGTGCTGGTCTTTACGCGCTCTCCAGTGGTGTGTCTAATGTTCTCCTCAGTGGTAACGGTGGTGGTGGATCCGGAGGAGGTGGTTATGGCGGTGGAGGCGGTGGAGATAGTTTCTGGTCAAAGATTTTCTCTCCTGCCGCGATTGCAGGAGAAGAGGAATCACAGGAATGGGATTCGCATGGATTGCCGGCGAATATTGTGGTACAGCTGAACAAGCTCAGTGGGTTTAAGAAGTATAAGGTTTCCGACATCCTTTTCTTCGACCGCCGTCGTGGGTCGACGGTTGGGACGGAGGATTCGTTCTTCGAAATGCTATCCTTGCGGCCAGGTGGTGTTTACACAAAGGCGCAGCTCCAGAAAGAGCTAGAAACGCTAGCAACCAGTGGAATGTTTGAAAAAGTTGATCTTGATGCGAAGACTAACCCTGATGGGACAGTCGGGGTTACTATATCCTTCTTGGAAAGCACTTGGCAGTCAGCTGATAAGTTTAGGTGTATCAATGTTGGGTTAATGCCACAGTCGAAGCCCATAGAGATGGATGCAGACATGACGGAGAAGGAGAAATTGGAGTACTTTAATAGCCAGGAACAGGATTATAGGAGGAGGATTGAAAGGTCTAGGCCATGTTTGTTGCCGGTGTCGGTGCAAAGGGAAATTTTGCAGTTGTTGAGGGAGAAAGGAACAGTTAGTGCCAGGTTGCTGCAGAAGATTAGGGATAAAGTGCAGCAGTGGTATCATGACAATGGGTATGCTTGTGCTCAAGTAGTGAACTTTGGAAATTTGAATACAAAGGAGGTTGTTTGTGAGGTGGTGGAAGGGGATATTACTCAAATGGTAATTCAGTTTCAGGATAAGCTGGGCAATGTATGTGAAGGTAACACTCAGTATCCGGTCGTCCGGAGAGAATTGCCTAGGCAGGTAAGAATTTCTTTAATGCAGTGGACTTCGTTTGAATTTTTAAGTTCGTTTTTTAAAAGAAAAAAAAACTTGCATTTTTCTGACATGCTATTAAATTTGGTTCCCATGTTGCATTTTGTTAGTCTCACTGTATTTATAAAAGAACGACTGCTTCACTGCATGCCAGAGCTGAATGAGAGTTGTGCATGTTATGCTTTTGAATTGCGGTGTTTCCTTCATTGGATTGATTTTAATTCTGTTTGGTTTGATTCACTAATAAACATAAATTTGATTAATGCATAGTCATTGTTGTTTCTTAAAGTGCTATATTATTATTCTGCTGATGGAGGTACTACAATAGTTTTTTGCTTCATCGTCTTAATTTTTTACTACACTTCTGGTACAGGTTGATGATTTGAGTATTCTGTTAAATCTCATATTTCTTGCTGGTCTGTAGCATGTTTAGTGGTCCTATTTCTTTTGGTTCTTATTCAGCAAAATACAGTATTGGTCTAAAGTGATTTTTCTTATCAAAATTTCTTTCGACATTTCTGCACTTCGGTGTAGCTTTTTACGTGTATACTTCAATTATAGTCTTTTTGTGCTCTTATGCACTGAAGTCTGCAATTTGGGATTAACATGGCTCTAACAATGTGTGATAATTTAGCTTCGTCAAGGGAAAGTTTTCAACATTGAAGCTGGAAAACAAGCTTTGAGAAATATAAATTCTCTAGCCCTCTTCTCTAATATTGAAGTCAACCCTCGCCCCGATGAAAAGAATGAGGGAGGGATAATTGTTGAAATTAAGCTTAAGGAATTGGAACAGAAGTCAGCTGAAGTCAGTACTGAATGGAGCATTGTCCCAGGACGTGGAGGTCGCCCCACATTGGTACACCATTAAACATCTGAACTGCATAGTTTTGGTACGGATTATTACTGTTAGCCCACTGCTAAGTGCCTTCATTTTCTGTGTCATGCATTCAGGCTTCAATTCAACCAGGTGGAACTGTTTCATTTGAGCATCGGAATCTTTACGGGCTCAATCGCTCAATTCTTGGTTCAGTTACTACTAGTAACTTCCTCAATCCTCAGGTTATTGTTTCAGTATGTTTTCGTTGTTGATGCTTTTGGTCGTGTTCTGCTGTCCTTTTTTGTGGTGTCTTACACATTAGTAATGATCCCAACCTAATCTTTTTTACAGGATGATCTTGCATTTAAGTTGGAGTATGTTCATCCTTATTTAGATGGTGTTTATAATCCTCGAAACCGTACACTCCGTACTAGCTGCTTCAACAGCAGAAAGTTGAGTCCTGTCTTTACTGGGGGGCCTGGAGTAGATGAAGTCCCTCCCATTTGGGTTGATCGTGCTGGACTTAAAGCCAACATTACTGAGGTATGCCAACACTGGTATAACTGTGATGCATCTGGCCAACAGGTCTCCGTTATGAAGTGTTTGTCTAATTTGTAGAGAACCTTTATAGCATTTGGTGGTTAATAACAAAATTCAACAAAAAAAGGATCTCTCTCGTGGGTGCTTAAATGACTTGTTGAATATTATGGAAGTTGGTATTAATTATTTTTTTTGATAAAGCTCGGAAGTCGTATTCATAGGACAGTATAGAGTATTTTTTTTTTTTGATAAAGCTCGGAAGTCGTATTCATAGGACAGTATAGAGTGTCTGTTTTGATTACTCGTTTGGGACTGATAAAAGTTTCACATAGATAATGTACTAATTACCATATGCATTTAACCATTTGTTTGCTGCAGAATTTCACTCGTCAGAGTAAATTCACTTATGGACTTGTGATGGAAGAAATAACAACACGTGATGAAAGCAGCCACATCTCTGCTCGTGGACAGAGGGTATTGCCAAGTGGTGGAATTAGTGCAGATGGACCTCCCACTACCCTTAGTGAAACTGGCATTGACCGCATGGCATTTTTACAAGCTAACATTACACGAGATAACACCAAGTTCATAAATGGGACAATAGTTGGTGAGAGGAATGTGTTCCAGGTAAGATTAGTTTCTGTTTTTGTTTTGTCTTCACTCATTGAGTTTGTTTTGCAAATCAAAGTTTGGAGTAGCTTTTGGGCTTCCGTAATAAAAAATGCATAGCAGCAACTGGTCGGCTTTCACTGGGAAATTATCTCATACGTTCCTCCCAAAGCAAGTGCTCATCATTTAATAATTGACTGTTTCCTATGCTCCAGAAGTCCATTTACCTTGTGACTTTTGTTGCTACTCTGACAAGTCCTCTAATTCATGCTGTAGATGTACGAGATCTTGGATATAATATCTGGTTACATTTCTTTTATGGATTCTAATGTAGTTATTGTGTTACAGGTCGATCAAGGACTTGGAGTGGGCACTAAGTTCCCTTTCTTTAACCGTCACCAGCTGACAATGACCCAATTTATCCAGTTAAAGCAAGTAGAAGAAGGTGCTGGTAAGGCTCCACCACCTGTGCTAGTCCTACATGGCCATTACGGTGGATGTGTTGGAGATCTTCCCAGTTATGATGCTTTCACACTTGGGGGACCTTATTCAGTCCGGGGTTACAATATGGGAGAGATAGGTGCAGCTAGAAATATTGTTGAGGTATGTATGGTTTGTACTATTTTCTCAGTTTTTGCTACAAAACTTATCTAATGTAATGGTTGCAATGCTTCCTCCAGTTGGCTGCTGAGCTGCGGATACCTGTTAGAAACACACATGTGTATGCATTTGCAGAACATGGAAATGATCTTGGGACTTCAAAAGATGTCAAAGGAAACCCAACAGAGGTCTATAGGAGGATGGGTCATGGCTCCTCATATGGTGTCGGAGTAAAACTAGGTCTAGTACGAGCAGAATATGCTGTTGACCACAATTCTGGAACTGGGGCAGTATTCTTCCGTTTTGGAGAGAGATTCTAGTTTCAGATTTCGTGGTCAGATCCTTTTTTTGCAGCTAGTCGGATTTAATGAGTCAAGAACTGCACACGGTTGAGTTTGGTATTCAGTAAACTCTAAAACTTTGTTTGGTAAAAGATCTTCTAAGATTATGGTTAGAACCTTGTTGAAAGAAAGTGAGTATCCTCTCTAGCTTTGATGCTTCATTCGTGTAACCCAAAAAATGTAATATAGGAATTTGTGCATTTCTTGTTCCAAAATTTCATTTCTTTCCCTTGGTGGGGTTTCTTGAAATAACTAAGTAGTAATTGCTTTGATTGGAATCTGCCGTTATGAGATGATTTATAATGACAATATCTATTTCTATTGACAATACATAATTTAACTATTTTTCACAAGATTTCTGGATGTATCAACACTAGAGTAGAGAAAGCATCATCTTAAGATAAAACCTAAATGGCAACTATATAAACAAGTTGTGTGCAATAATTTCAACTTTGGTTAAGGTAAATACAAAGAATTGCAGAAGTAAATTATATTTCAGGAGATTTCATCAATTATTCAAAGAATAGCAAAGTAAATACAAGAAGAGTTGCAGAGCTTGATTAAATTTCAAACTTTTGAATACACAGAATCTTATACCAGCAGAATAGGGCTGCTGAATTTTACCTACTCCATATTTTTTGAAAGAGGAAACAGTACAAACCAGACACTCACTAAAAGATAGTGCATACAAGCATACATACAAATAACCTATGTAGGGAAATACATCTGCCATAATAGAAGGCTCAAAGCAGGACAAATGAAGGAACCAACGCTTCCATGTAATTGTGAACAAAATGATGCACAAAAAAGTCATCTATAGCTCTCACAGATTTAATCCCCATATAATTCTAGTCGCGAAGTAGATGAACATAAGAAATATGTACAATAAATATGAAGGTGAGACATACAATTACTTAATTCAACAGAAATTCAGTAACTTAATTCAACAAAGACAGTATAAGAAATTCAGTTACTGTATCCTCCCAATGATTTGATTATCAAGTTTGTCATATTAGGGAACCGGGGCAGCAAAATCTAGGTGAATTACGAAAATATATGCTAGAATCACTCCAATAATATGTACAGACAAGTTCTTCCTCCTATTACAGAATTTGAAGCAAGCACAAAACTATGGAGACATAAAATATGGAGCAAATAATTAATTTCTTATAGAAGAAGAGTGAAAGAAGAAGAATATAGGCCCATAGGAATAGGGAGAAGGATGAAGATTCAAATACCCAATATGTTGGGGCTGCTGACAACGTTTTATATTACTCTCTAGATCATTGCGGAAAAAGAAGGTTCAACACACCCATTACTACAAAAACAATACACCATTTAGCATTCAAAGGACACATCGGTGTTGTACTGCAAACGATTTGCTGCTGCTGGACGAGACATATTTCAGGAAAAAGACAACTAAAATGCATCGCAAGGATAAATCAGACCAACTGCCTATCTGCTGTCTAACTCAAATTTGTCCCAGATTTTACCAGAGAACACCACCTCATGAATCTGCCATGATTCCTCCATGATTTGCAGGTCTGCACTACAAATGAAGTTATGTTGGGAGCTGTTCTATAATAACTAAATTTTCAATAAAACATAAGTACATGTAATAAGGCATGCCATAGAATTTTCCAGTATGTGTAGAATGCTCGCTCTGATCTGCGAAAGCATCTCTGCTCATCAGAAACAGAAACCAAGAAAAATGCCTAACATGAATAAATGAAGCTCTCCTATTTACTTAATTTGTCCTTCCATCATTGTTTGCATCAAATCAAAAGAATGGCAAAGAAGTTACTTCTAATATCTTACTTTACAGATGCTGAGAAGGCATATTCACCAACACGATCTGTACTACACAATAATATCTTTCCATGGCAATAATCTCTTAATATGCTATGACCGAGACCACTTTTGCCAGTCTTACTCCCAGATAAAATGGTCAATATCCCCAACCCTCTACAGAAGCATTCTACCTTCAAGTCCTAAAGCCCAAAAATGACATCTGCAAGCTATTGTAATTGTAAAACCCAAAAATAAAATCTGCAAGCTTTCGTATTAAAATCTTTCAGCTTTATTAAGTTTCACAACTGAATACACTAAAAAACCACGAATATGAGCAGAACACAAGATCTATGGACTATGAGTAGTCACAACTGAATACACTAAAAAACCACGAATATGAGCAGAACACAAGATCTATGGACTATGAGTAGTGGGGTGATCCTATGTTTGCTTTCTCTCATTTCTAGAAAAATCATGGATTCACCTCCAAATTCATATATGAAGAGAGTGCCAGAACACAAACATGTAAACCACAGTACTGACCAATACACAAGGAAAAAGTGAATTACATATATTATTCTATGAATTCTTCTGTTATGTTAGAAGATCTTTCGAGTTAGGAACCTACAGTCAGAAACAAAGAGCTAACAGGAAAGCTAGGGAAATAAGTCTAGTATTTGACAGGAGACCTTTTAGACTGGCTAGAAACTTGTGTTTCCATAAAAAAAAGCTTGTTATTTAGAAAACTTCTACTTCTAAAGAACTTCTAATTTGCTTTAAAAGATAAATGATTCAGTATCGGAACTATAAAGGAGTGGATCCGTTAAAGGACTCATATAGCCAACACAACTAGTTTGGGACCTAGGTATACTTGATTGATTGTTTACCAGATTGATCAATGCAAATTTATTTTCTTTATCACAAATGCAAGATTATATGCTCAAACTCGTTGTCCTGGTTGCAAACCACCAAGTCAGACTTCTGATAACTTAAATCAGTATTCATCCCTCTACAAGCAATTGTAAATAATTGAGTTCGGAAATCTATCCAAAAAAAATGATAACTTTTTCCTCCAAAATACTCAAATAAACATTTTAGGACTTGGCAGCTCGGATAATTAAAGGACCTTACCCCAGCTTCTGGAGCTACTTATCATTAGAAGCAACAGGATGATAGTAACCAAAATTATTTCCAGACCAGTCCCGCTGCTGCACCATATTATAGTGATGATGAAACCCAAGTGGCGGTCCACCCCCGTAACCAACAGGCATGCCTACATGTCCTCCATTTGGCATTCCCATCATTGGCATCGGCACCATTTGTGGTTGGTACGGCATCAGAGTTGGCGTTGCCATGTGGCCATTAGTATTGCGCAGGTGACCACCCTCACTGGACTCACGCATACTCTCTGCCGCCGGTGTGGAAGTAAACAAATGATCAGACGAAGAAGGACCCTCGTTCGGCTGCATTCTCTTCGTATACAATCTGTATTTCTGTAAATGACTTGCTACGTTCTCTCTCGTCAATCCTTCCACATTCATAAGCTGCATAATTGTTTTCGGCACAGCCCCTTTGATACCTAAGTGCGCCACCACTTCAATAAAACGCTTGTGTAACTGCGGCGTCCAAACAAGTCTGGGCCGCTTCGGAGTCTTAGCAGACGAATCATCCGCAAAATTCTCGTTACACAGAGATGAATCAGCCTCCTCAGTGCCTCCGGATTCAACCCGTCGGAGCTTCCTCGGGTCGGATCCCTCTCTTATCAGATCCGTTTCATCTCTTTCAGTAACAGTCTCTTCTCTAGTCCTCTCATAGCTAAACGGCTTGAAATATGAGTTATTCATCGAAGCCATATCCTGTGAGTGCCATCTCTGGAGAGAAGAAAACGTATTCTGCGAAGCACGATTTACATCGGTCATCGTCTTTGACAATTCCGGCAATATTCTGAACGCAGCAGCGAGTTCCGAGGGAATCAACTGCAGAGTCAACGGCGTGAGATCATCGACGTCGGGAAGTCCAACCTCCCAGAGAAGTCTGTCATCGTTACCACCGCTGTATTCATAGTCGGTTAGGTTCACTTCTTCACCCATGGTAACAATATTTTGTAACTACTAAATTTTATTCCGGTCACCAGAAGATATTCCGGCGAATTTGAGAGAGATGCGGTTGAATGAACGAAAATGGAGAAGGCGAAGAAGATGAGGAAATGGGAAAGCGATAGGCGGTGGAAAATGGAAATAAATAAGCTAAAAGGGAAAAGGTCGATAGCGTAATAAAAAGTACAATATCTCATTGCAACGTGGCACTGGCCCACTACCAGCGTGGATGCTTTACCAGATATTTTTCATCTCTTCTCTTTGTTAAAGGTCCTAAAACGCCCCCTCAATTATTAAAAATAGTATAATTACGCCCTTTTTGTATAAAATTACATTTACTTTTTAGATCCAATGCAAATAATCAGCACTCAGCTCTAAGTCTTTAGCTAGAAAATGGAAGTAACGACTTAAATTATTAGGCATAAGCGTTTTCAGAGGTGAGATCTTTTTATTTAATTTAAAACTGATTCATTTAGTTACAAGTAGGTTTAAGAGAGTTCTAACATATGCCTTGAAGGACTAAACCCCTCGTATGTGGCGATGACTTGTAGCTAAGGGGGGAAAGTCCAACCAAGATCGAATATAGCTGATTTTTCATGAAATTTATTTTAATAAAGTGTATGAGTCGATGGTCTGAAGTAGAGCATATATGCTACTGAGGTTTATAAGTAGAGCATAATAGATTTACGGCGTTTTATATCCGAATTCACAATTAAAAAAATTTAAAGTTTAAATTACAGAGAAGATATTATTTGTTACTCCGTAAAGAAAAGTAGTAACTTTTAGAGTGAAACGTTTTATGAAAAAAAAAAGAGTAATAAATAATAATATTAGTTTAAGTAAACTTTATTTGTTAGTGTCATGGTGCTCGTAGCTCCAACGTACGATAAATTAAATATTAAAGTTACTACTATTTGCTCTTTCTTTAATATGCCACCTACTTTTATTGCACTTTGTTATGTATTTTACCTTTTAAAGAATTGACCTCACCTATTATATACTATATATATAGATTTTCTTTTTAAAGAAGCAGATTCTCATATTATCCAGAATCAACTCTCTTATATTTATTTTACTCCTTTTTTAACAATATATTTAACGTCCATATTCACAATGCACTCAATTCCCATAAAATAACTACAAGTGGCCGAATATTTCCAATTTACTACGTATAAAAAACTGTAATGACGATTGAGGAAGCTTACGAGTAGTTAGTACACACATATGCTTTTTATATTGTTAAATTCTCACCATTATTTTTGTGAAAAAAATGAAAGAGATTTACCAGTGCATTATGAATTAGTTCTTTGCTATGTATTCACCTTACATTAATAATCAACTATTCCTCGAAATTCCAAACAAACATATATAACAATTTCTCCTTATAATTATGACTACTTCCTCACAAATAATCACTGATTTTTAGTATTGCTAAGACAATTTAGACACTCACAAACTAGAGATTCTTTTTAATGCCCCACACTTATCTACCCTACCATTAATCCGCTTTTAAACTACTCTGAACTAGTATATGTTCAACAACAATAACTTAACCTTAATTCAGACGCTGAGAGTCAATCGAAAACAGTCTCTCTACCTCACAAAGGTACGGGTAAGGTCTGTGAATGTACATCTTAAGGTCTGTGGGATTATACTTAGTATGTTGTTGTAGTATGACTTGCATAAGCCAACACAGGGAACATAGCAAATATTAAGCAGAATCTAACAGCGGTGAAGTTGCAAGTTCAGCAAACATAAACATAGAAGGAAATGAGACATACTTGGCCATGATAGAACATTGTCAATACCATACATAAAAATTCTGGCTTCACCTAAAACATCAACTTTCCACATGGCGACATTTTGTACAGTCTTGTTGATATAAAAACTACCTCACTTTTTTTATCATTTATACACCGTTTAGAGACTTGATTTTTCCTCTGCATGGCTATCAGGAATATTTGACATCCGAGCCCCAGCATACCTGATCCTATGTATAAACTTCCAACTACACAATATACAGTTCTCTAGTACAAGCAACAACTTTATTTGCAATCACAGCCCATACTGCCCTCAAAGAGAGTTCTAGAGCCAGAGCACAAGACACGGGGGGAAATAAAGGAAGAGAGGTAGCTCAAACTAGCCTCGGTCAACTGTACAACTTTTTTCCTAAAAGCTAAGCAAGATTTGGAGACTGAGCAGCAATTCTTCGTTCTGCAACATTCAAAAAAGCAAATCATTCAGTATCATTGTAACAACTAGATAGGCAAAGTTCTAGTCAAATGGAAGCAGAAGAGCTGCTTACCTCCAGCTGCAACAAGTTTCTCAACACGAGCAACAATGTGTTTTCCATAAGTGTATTTCTTCAGAGCATTCAAGTGAACCTTTATTCTAGAAAGGATCAGCTCACGTTGCTGATCACTGCACGTTTCCAAAACTTTCTGTACAACATAATTTGCAAACTGATCTTTCATCATTGCCTGGGTAAAGAAGGAAGAAAAATGAGAAAATAACACAAATTGAAAGGAACAGCGACATCCACATTAAGACATAGTCAATCAGAGACAGACATGAAATGCATAAGCAAGGCTTGCAGACTTGAAAAGTGAAGCCTAGACTTAATATTATAACGAGTGGAGAGAAGAAGAGATGGAGATTAGCAAGTCAAGCCAGTTTTAAGGAAAAATGTGGACTTGAAAAAGTGAAGCCTTAATTTAGTATAATAAACCTATGAACAAAATTTAATGGAAAAGACAAGAAAAGGAGGTGACGGAGATTAGCAAGTCAAATCAGTTTGAAGGGAAAATGCAGACTTGAAAAGTGAAGCCATTAAATGGTTAGTATAACTGAATGCATTTGTCAATCCAAGGAGAGAAGTAACAACACGTTAGATGCCATAGACAGCCAAGAGTCCATGATGCAAAAGTGGATGAGATTTTAAAAGATATCATGGACAGGAGAGTTATAAGGCTTTCCTGTGACAATTAAAGTAAACCATGTTTGGCAAAGAGTTACATGATACCAATAAGTACTTCGCTTCTTTTAAGCCATGAAAGCTAACTGCTTACTTACTTCATGCAGAATTTTATCAATCACCTGATCCTGGAACAATGGAAAGGGGATCAAGAATGGCTAAATGTAGTACCACAAGAAAAGGCAAAATGACGTCCTATCGATTTTGTAATCTTCACGAACCAAATGAAAAAATGATTCGGAGAACTCATAGTAAAGCATAATTACTGTCAAGTCTTGCTACAAAGTGAACACTTTACACAGTGTGGACTTCGAAACAAGCATTGCTCAAGGATTCAATTTTTTTGGAAAACATGGGCACCTTACAAAGTGGAGTGCTTCTTATGGTTGGTGGACAAAGAGGCTTGTTTAACATAGGAGATCTTCAAAAATAGGTTTCTGGTTGAGCAGCAGGCACCACTAGTGTGGAAAAGATTCTCGTAGTATTGGTTTATTAGCCACCTCGTCATTCACAGTAAGGTGATTGCCTTGCTATGGCTAATTTTCTCAACATACTGGGGTTTCGATGGGTGATGTTCAAAACCACAACTTGGTTGTCGCAATATTGGCACTGAAAGAGAAGGAAAAGAGAAAATAGTTTGATGGAGCACTATTCCATCTTGCATTTGGACAGTGTGAAAACGAAAGGAATGTATCATGTTTTGAAGACAAAATCACCTCAATATAACAGTTCAAGTTTAATTGCACAGGTTTGTTTTGGTTTGGTGCAAGGAAAAACTTGTAAATGAAACAGACTCTACAGTTACCCTCTTAGAATCCCTACAAGATTATATTAGGGTTCTTTTTAGTTTTTGCTTATTTGTAGTTCTGGTCTTTTTTAGTGCTTCATATAATAATATATTTACCTTTCTCAAAGAACGGTGAATGGCCTTATCTTTAAAAACTTCCTGCCCTTGGGAAAAGAAATTTTGACACAATATTTCATTTTCAATTGAAGTGATACCACCCTAAACAACTTCTCATTTTCAATTGAAGTGATACCACCCTAAACAACTTCCTAGCTGCCACTTTTCACCAACTTCAACTTTTACAGAAATGAGTAGCTATCAACAAGCTCCATGCTGATACCTTCAAACTCAAATACAGAAAAAGAAAGGCTTCTGGCCACTGTTCAATTCTGGAGTTCCTCGAGATCCAGTTAAGGAAAATGACAGAACAGTGTAACATGGTTTTTTGAGCTCCTTGTATATATTAAAGTATTTTCCTGCCTCTTCTCATACCTACCGTTTTGATCTAAGATTCCAATTCTTCCATACCCTATTGTTCTAAAAAAATGAAAAAATATTAGATATCCTACCAATCTCTCCAATCTAGTTTATAGTTACATTAGTAGACAATACATTAATACTAAATGGTAGAAATAAGACACTTATCCTATTAGAACTAACCAATACTAGAGATATTAAGGTGCATAATAGATCAATATGAACATTAAGAGCTGTCTCATATAATTACTAGTTGTTGCTAGTATCATATTCTATTACCTGGGCTCTGCTTCACAATAAGTACACAGGAGCCAAATCTTCAGCATTGTGAGTTCATAGGTTGTTACAAGAATGCTACAACAATAAGGGACCACTGAAAAGACCGTATAAATATCATGGCTTCACCAATTCTATAGGTACGTACATCCTAAACTGCAAGCTATGTTGCTCGACACTTCGAAAATGTTGAGGGGTGCGTGTGGGATCCTCCAAATATAGTGTGTTTGAAGGATCCGACCAACTGTGGCAACATTTTTGGAGAGTCGAGCAACTTAGACTGCAAGTACCAAAATATCCTGCACCACCGTAAGGGCCTAGTAAAATGATGTTATTCATGAACATTGGTGTTTTTGACCAGATACAAGAGTTAAATTTTACAAAAAGAGAAAAATAGAGAACACTCAACCTCTATTACATCCAAGGGTTGGAAATTTTATACCCTATTCCCAAACTCTGATGAGGATATCTCAACAATACATAGATCCAAGCCAAACAAATGAGGGGAGGTTAAAAATGTTAGAAGGTCCAGTACA